CTCGCCCGCACCACGAATCTCGATTTACATCGGATCCTGTCACGGGGCGGTCAAGCGCACGACGATAGTTCGCAGAACTGCACGAAACTTCAGCAGTTGCTTCTGTCTGAGAATTGCGGCATCGAGGCGATCGATCTCGCTGGTCAGGCGACGAAGCGGGGGCGACGCCTTCGAGCCCTCCGAGATCCGACAGGTCTCGCTCACCAGATCTGACGCGAACACTAAATCGAACCAGCCAAAGTTTCCAGGGTCTGCAACCTCGGCCCTGACCTTCTGAGCGTTGAACGCGCCCAGGATCCATTCTGCGGCCTGCTGCCAGCTAGGGCAGCGCGACGCGGCGTGAAAGACCACGTCTTTGCTCCACTTCTCATAGCCGGCCGAGTCGGGGACGGGCACGACGTTCACCTTCTCCGTCTTGCCAGCGCCCTTGCAGTAAGCTGCAGTGCCCGGCACTCCGTCGGGGAAGGGCGGGCCGCCAGGCGGCCCGTTGCATCGGCCGCGCCGACGCTCACCCCCATCGCTATCTTCCTCCTCGGATGTCTCGTCTTCGTCGTCCTCTGAGTCGTCGGAGCCCTCGCCCCAGTCGTCACCTTGATCGTCGTCATCATCGTCTGGCGGGCCAGAGTCGCGCCGCTGCCTGGCCGGCGCCGCCTCGGCTGGCTCGGGCCGCCCCTGCCCCCCCCCCTGGAAGGCGCCGCCCTCGCCGCCGAAATCGCCACCTGACTCCTCGGGGCCAGGCGGAGCGCACATGGGGAACAAAGATGCGAGGGCTGCCTGAGCTCGCTCCGCTTGCCCCTCTCTCTTCTGGCGGCGCTCTGCCTCTCCCCTGGATCTCCCCTCTTCCCCCTGAGCTTGCTTTTCGTCGGCGACAGAAGCCTCCGCGCGCCTCTCGGCGCGCGCCCCCTGCCCCCGGGCCTCCGCCTCGACTTCGCCCTCCACGTTCCGCATCGCTCCCGCGAGCATCTCCGAGAGCCCCGGGCGCTCGGCCCTGGCAGACTCCCCCGACGCCCCCAGGCGTCTGGAGACGTCGTCTTCCGTCTTCTGCTCCTCCGCGCGCTCCGAGGCGCTCGCGGCAATCCCGAGATGCCTCGGGCGCCGGCGGGCGCTCATAGGGCTCCGCTCCAGGCGCGGATTGCGAGGCGATCCGTTCATGGTGCCCCCATCTTGCTTCGCATTATTATTCCTCTTCTCTCTCGCGACTTCTCAGCCCCACGGCCCTCGCCCGCCGAGCGGTCGACGCAAGCGACGCAAGTCCATTCAATCGCATCGCAGCGCGCGCCACAGAACGACCCGGCGCACCGCACGCAGTCGCGGCCCGCAGCTCCGTTGCACGAGAAACACGAGAGCCCGCCCAGGCGCGGCGCGAGCGCGGCTCGCCTGGGAGACCCCCGCCCGCAGAGGAGCCGCGCTGACGGCGGCGACCTTTGCCGCTCTAAGATTCGCATGAGAAGCTTGCTTCTCCCACTGATGGCACGCGTGAAGTTCGGCCTGCTGTCGGCACAGTTGTTCTCGCTGTGACTTCCAGTTCTCCATGGGCAGTGTTACTCTGATCTCGTTGTTCCAGGCCGCCGTAGTCACCTCGTCATTCGCTCGCCGCTCGACGCGCCGCGCCATCTCCAGCGCGTCGCGAACTGCCCCCTCTCTCGCATGACGGCATGGCATTGCGCGGCCTCGGATGGGAGCTGGCCGAGGAGAGACTGCGGGAGGCAATGGCCGAAGAAAGGGATCGGGAGCTGGCGCAAATGCGAGACCATTTCGTGAGAAACGAAATTCGACATCGCGCCGCTGCTCGTGTCCAGGCCGACAACGATCGCACCGCAATGATTTGCGCCGTGGAGCAGGCCGAGGAAATGCAACAGGCCGTCGCCTCAGAGCAGGCGATGCGAGCTTCAGCAGAGCTACGTGGACTGACCAGCAGGGCCCAGGCTTCGGCAGCCGCCGATGAGTGCGCTCGAGACCTCGAACAGAGCGTGGCAGAGGAGGCTAGGCGTGTCGTCGGGGAGGCCGGAGAGGCCCCGCCGGTGACGATGCCCAGGATCGCTGAAGAGCTCGAGGCGGCTGGGGCGCGCGACGATCTCCTGGGGGCGGGGGCGCAGGCAGCGGTTCGACGGGCCCGGGCAAATCGACCGACCGCTGAAGCAGTTGCAAAGAGGGTATCGGCCGAGAGCGCAGAGGCGGCGATGGGGCAGGCGCAGGGTGACGTCAGCGACGCTCGCCAACAGGCGCACACGGGTCCCGCGCCCCTGGCCCGAGGAGAGCGAGCGCGAGGGATGGGGACCCTCGTCGCACTGAGGTTCAGGTGTCCTACACTCAGAGTCCTCTGCGGACTGGTCAGTGGGGGGGGGACCCGGGAGCGCAGCCCCCAGGATCTCCCCCCCGGTCGAGCACCTGGTTCTCCTCCGGCATGCCTTCCGCCTTGGTCCGCTTCACGAGCGGGGATCTGACAGACAGGCTGATGGCCTCCCGGGGCTGCTTCGCTGCGGGCGCTCTCGACCCAGCTGTCTCTTCGGCGCTCTGCTGAGCGGCCGCAGGCAGGCCTGCCATTATCTCTGCCATTTCACCTTGCTGATATTTCAACAAGGCTTGGGCGACACAGTCGTCGAATAGTCCTGACGCAGGCGATGGTTCCTAAGCCGATATCGGGGACGACCCGAGGCGACAGACCTCGGAGTCGCCCCCCAGATGAGATTCAGCAGCCGTTTCCCAGTTCAGGCGGGAAGTCGACTTGACTGATCTCCAATCTTCCGACGAGACGTTTACGTGTTCATCCTGTTCATCCGATGAATTGGAGGAAATCACGTAGCCTTGACGGACGCCGACCAGCAATGGTTGCTTGTCAGGGTTGCCGGATCCGCACCTCCGCCTCCGCCTTGTGCGCGCCCGTCCGTGGAGTGTCCTGGCGACCGGGGCCTTCGCCTACAGGCGTATCTCCCGACGACATCGAGAAGCTTTTGCTGAGATGTTGTGAACCCCCCAAAAAACAAAAAAAACAAAAAAAAAAAAAAAAAAAAAAAAAAAAAAAAAAAAAAAAAAAAAAAAAAAAAAAAAAAAAAAAAAAAAAAAAAAAAAAAAACGAATCGGAGCCCCTGGCACAGTCAAGGGGCTCGGTTTCGAAGACGATATTTGGGATTCCACTGGAGCCGTGGCATTGTTCACAACTACTTGGTACATCCACCCTCGAGACACGAAGCATAGCTTCGTGATTTCGTGGTGGTCCTTTCGGATGATACCAGCATTTTGCAGATTCATCATGGATTCGGGCAGTATTCTGATCATTTTGATAAGCTCTTGTTCTGAATGTCCTGGTACGTCATATCTTAATAGCGGTCCCAAGTTGAGCCTCGGAGAAAAATGTACTCGATGCCATGGCTAGGATGCCTTTTATGCGGATGCATGAGTGTACACGAGCAGGATATCGCCGGCCGAGAGAGGGAGGCCAGCCGCGCGCACACGCCTGTTGACGAAGCAGAAACAGCGATTGTCGATTTCAGTGTTACTGAAGGTGGCGCCGCCAACCCTCAGCTGGAGGATAGTGGCGGCGCGGCAGAAGAGGGCACGAGGGGATCGTAGCTAATCGCTCTCTCTCTCTCAATATATGTATATGAACCTACATACATACACACCTGCATACACACATACATACATACATACATACATACATACATACATACATACATACTTACATACATACATACATACATACATACATACAGACATACAGACAGACAGACAGACAGACAGACAGACAGGCAGACATACAGACAGACAGACGGACAGACAGGCAGGCAGGCAGACAGACATACACCCATGCACACATGCATGCATGCATGCATACATACAAACATGCCTGCATGCATGTATGCCTGCATGCATACATACGTATATACATGCACACGTACATACATACATACATACATACATACATACATACATCCAGACAGACAGGCATACAGGCATACATACATACAGGCATACATACATACATACATACATACATACATACATACTTACATACATACATACATACATACATACATACATACATCTCTCCACCTCGGGCCAGACGGAAACAGGCGCAGCCGTGTGGATGCACATCTGTTTTTCAATCTCTGTCTGATCAAATTGCATGGCGAATAGCTTCATCCCTCGATCGAGCTCCGACCGAGGCTCCTTTGCCTCGGCAAGCACAGGCCTATACAGGCCACAAACGACACAGCAACTCCCAACCAAATAGGCTGAAGGAGGGGGCGGCGGGCGGAAAGACTTGAGCGTAAACAGTTGCGGCCAGGCACCGAGAGAGAAAGACGTTCCGAGAACTGTAGCATCTCTCCACCTCGGGCCAGACGGAAACAGGCGCAGCCGTGTGGATGCACATCTGTTTTTCAATCTCTGTCTGATCAAATTGCATGGCGAATAGCTTCATCCCTCGATCGAGCTCCGACCGAGGCTCCTTTGCCTCGGCAAGCACAGGCCTATACAGGCCACAAACGACACAGCAACTCCCAGACCCATACTGTGCTCTGGAGCCGCCTGAGGTGCAACCTCAACCTAAGCAGCGAGACAAACGAGCCCCACGAAGAGCCTCTGCGGACCTAATCACCCAGAGGACAATCGCTTTGGACAATCGCTTGGGGTAAGATGCCGCGAGAGCGGTCAGATTGACACTACTCCCAGGGAGCTTTCCTCGCAAAATTATGTGAGGTCTAAAACTGAAACTACAAGACCCATGGCCAGAACACAAAACATTTTCTTGTCTAAGCATCGGGACGTGCCAGCCTACGAAGCGAGTGCGTTTGCGCCAACGTGACCCAAACGCACATTGGTCAACTACCAGCTGTCTACAAGAAGGGTGGCCCATCAGGGCCGCCATCATGGGCTCACGCCAGGCCTTGGACGCGTGAGGGTTCTCAAGGAGCATTGGTACCTTTTGCTTGATGCAAGCCCTGGCGAGCCTTCTAGTGGCAGTGAGCGTGCGGTTGCCTGAGCTAAGCCGAACTGCCTCAGCTGGGGTCGGGTCGGGAATCCCGTAAGGGCACCAGGATCGTCTGATCTGGCGAAAAAGAGCCGGAGTCCAGCTGCTGCATGGGAAAGCTGCGAACACGCCCTTGACGACACCCGACTGGATCCAACCGATGAGTACGTTGACCACCACTGCGTTTGAGAGATCATACTCTGGGCCGTTGAGCACGTCGAAACTGATACAGCTCTCACCCTGAGATTTCATGCAGTCGGTGATAGTCCCAGTACCTGAGAACAAATCTAGATACACTTTGTGATCGTGACTGAGTTGAACAAACTGACGCAATACCTTTCGCAACTTTGCTCGAATCATGTGAGCAGGTAGATAAACGTCTAAGCCCGCGTTGTGGTCCCCTCGGCCTTCATGAAAAGGCCTCCTTACTTTGCTGCAACCAGCACCTTGGCCGTGGCCCCAGGAGGAACTGGGACTCTGGCTGTGAGGCCCATGTACTGGCTCAGCTTCTTGTCTATCAGATTGCCGTAGTCGCGAGCACTGGCGGGTAGACCCTCGAGTGACTTGAGTACCCTGGCGTGCTTCTCGTAACGTTTCACCGACGTGTCCGCGGCCGAGCGGCCGCGGCGCTTGATGGCCTCCAACGATCGAGTCTGTCTGAGAGCATCGTCGCTGGCGCCTCCGTGCCTCATCATGTACGGGTGGAGCTTCGCCTGTCCCAGGCCAGCGACCTCGCACACCCTCTTGAACAGGTTGGAGAACTTGCGATAGTCGAATGACCACACCTTGTTCTGAGGGTTGCGCTTCTTCAGGGTGGCAAACCGTGGGTACAGGTATGTCAACTCTACGCTGTCCAGCAGGATGCTCTCGTCGAACTCCTTCGTCTTGGTGGGCACCGCCTCCTCCTCTGGTGCAAGCAAAAGCGCCCAGTGAGAAGTCCCTGACCCCGCCAGCGGCGGCACCAGCTGATGTACCCGAAGACCCAGACACTCGCTCGGCCGCAAGTAAGTCCGAAAGAGAAAGATGAGGCACTGTGCAAACTCCAGTTCGTTGATGTGTAGCGCAGCTCCGACTAGCGCGCACAAGCCGATCCACGGCAGAGGGGCCCTGCTCAGGCCGGGCGCCAAGCGGCGAAAGCCCCGTAGCGAGTGCTTGGCCCTTTCTAGCGTCTTTGAGCTCCTCATGCCAGGCACCCGATACTCGAGGGCTGCGATGACCTTTTCGCCCGAGTCGTGGTTGTGGCCCGCGAAGTAGAGCTCCTCCAGATACTCCAGCATAGCCCTGCTGATGTCCGAGCTCGTACTCAACGTCATTCCGTTGGTGTTGGCCCAGTCCTTGAACTCCTGGAAGTACCTGTCGTACATCATTGCCGAAGGACGAGTCACCTTGTTGACCTCCAGAAAATATTGGCCGAACTGCCTCGCATGCATTGCTTCGTCCAAGTGCTCGCGCCGTCTGCGCTTTGCCCGTTGAGCGCGAAGCTGAGACGTGCGATCTATCCCGGCCTCTGTCACAGGCCTCTTGGCGGGCATGGGTAGTCTCCTGGCCAGCAGCATCTTCTGAGTCGGAGCCACTGGAGTCGACGAACTCGGGGAGACCGTCGTGGAGGTCCTCGAAGCCATAGCCTGGTGGTCCCAGCGGTGGAGAGCGCCCGCCGAGCGCCCAGTCCCCGTCGTCGAACTCGCCGATGGGGTGCTGGCTGTCTGTGGACCGGGCAAGCGCCTCGACAGCAGACTCGAGCGCAACACGCGCCTCGGCGTCTCGGACGACCCAGGGAGGGCGAGCATCCCGCGGCCCGCCGCCGCCCCGGACGGGTGGCCCCGTCTTGAGCCTCGATGCGGCGTCGGCAGGGTTGAACTCTGAAGGAACCCACCTGGTGACGAAGTCTGAATCCGAGATCATGGACAAGGCAGCAAGTTGGCGACAATGTCTGTTGATATTTGCATTGCTGGCCCTGCCCTTACCCTGCGCCAAGACAAACCCCAAGTTGTCTCCCAAGAAGAGATGACGATGCGAGAAATGACGGGCGGAGCGGAGACGATTTCTGGCTGCAATGACGGTAGCACGGCCCTCCGAAGACGTAATGCTCTCTGCGAGCCGCCAGCGCCCCCGCACCTTGAGGCCCCACTCACTGAAGTCGCCAATGTCCCCACGACGAATGTCGAACAACTCAGGTGGGAGCTCATCCGGGGGGCAGTCTGGGTCTGGCAAGGACTTGATATGATTGTCGGACTCGGCCAGGGCACGCTGTCGAGCCTGAACCGCATCATCGACTGCAAACCCCCAACGTTCACTCTGGCGGCCCCAACCTCGGACGGTCTCCAGCGGGAAGTTCCGATTCACGATGCCGAACCCCCCGTTGTCGACCGCGTTGGCGCCCTCAGAGTCTGAGGCCGTGACCACTGTAGCCCATGGCCTCTTTGTGTCGGCGTAGGCGAGCGGAAGTAAGACCATCATCCACCGAAGCTCCTTCGACACAGCTGGCCAGAGGCGAAGCCGCCTATGACCCGCGACGTCAATGAACCTGTAGATGGCGTGCGGGATACTGAGCAAACACCGACGAAGGATAGCCGACCAGGTAAAATGGCCCACGATGCGGTGAAGAAGCTCTCCAGAACAGAAACCCTCGTCCAGGATGCCCTTGATGGCGAGACGCACCTTCCAGCAACGGCGATGGCCGACTGAGATGCGCCCGCTGGCCCTGTCCAAGGTCATCCCGGTAAACTGAGCCTCGGGAAGTCCGTGCTCGAGCTCCTTGCACTGTAGGCCGTCGGCCGCCAACTGCGCGTACAGTCTGCGGGCCATGCCCCTGACGACGTCGTCATCAGTGCCCACGACCCCAGCGTTGTCCACATAGATGGCGGTGCCGAAGCCGTCGCCAGTGACGTCTGGAGCCTGCTTCTTGTCCAGCAAGAAGGCCGAGGGCGGCACGCCCGCCCGAAGAGCGCTGGCCGTGACCATGGCCTGACAGAAGTAGAGCGCCCAGGACCAGCCCATCGCCATGACCTCCAGGTGTGGTGTGACGTAGCCTGTGGACGTGAGGCCCAGCTGGTCACACAACCTGGCGTCCACGCGGCGGAGTTGGCTGGCCGAAACTCTGGGGAGGGCGAACCAGTCCGAGACCCCTGGCGGCGCCTTGCATCTGTAGAAAGCGTTATCAACGTCCATCTGAGACAGCACCAGGTCATCCGTGACCCCGATCTCCATGGAAGCCCAGGACGAGGGAGTCGGGAGACGAGAGTGAGCTGGCTCATCGAACATCATGTTCACCGCTCTGGTGTCTAGGATCATCCGTAATCTGCCATCCTTTTTTGCAACAAAGAAAATGCCAACAGTGGCCGACCGTTCAGGTCGGAGAGACACAAGATTAGCCCGTACCATCTGCATGATGAAATCGGCATAGCGTTTCTGATCTTTGACAAGTGCAGGATCACTATAAGGTTGAATTGTGCTAGTGGTCGCGGTCGAGTGGGAATCTACTCTGGTCCGCAAGTTCGTCGAAATAGACCTCCAGCGTTGTAGAGCCAGACCGGACAGCACCTGCTCGCCGTCGGCCAGACCGCCCATCCCGGGCAAAGAGACTAAGTCAGGCTGGAAGCTGCGCCGAGGATCCGTGTCGGAGCACCCAGGGCGACTGCCGCCAAGCTCCGCAAGGGCTTGCGCGGCTGTGCAAGGAGGCGGTGGTATCGAACTATAAATGTCGGTCAGCAAGCGCACGCCGAGGTTCTGGGCCTCTGAGACCACGAGCCCTGGCGGAGGATGAATTGTGCAACCGTACATCTCGTTCAGACACTCCACTGCCGAATTTACCCAAGTCTGCCAATGCCGACGCATGTGAGAACGACGTCGAACAGCGCGGCACCCAGCGACCTGGAACCAAAATTGATCTTCTCGGGGGCAAGGCTGCGCAAGAGGCAACAACTCTCGCGACACTGGCATCCCTGATATAGGCGACTGGACGGGACCCCAGCCGCCTGTGGCTCTCAGGTCTTCTGGGCTGCCGCGGCTGCAGCTGCAGTGGCCTCTCTCTGGGCCTTGGCAGCGGCCTTGGCGGCAGCCCTGTCGGATTTGCCCTTGCCCTTCCCGTCGGTGATGGGAAGACCTGGCACATCATGCAGAGACGATAGCGGCGGTGGCCGCTGGGAGTGGGATGCTTGTCCGGCCTGCAACCTCCTCTCCTCGTTGAGCTTCCTGGACTCTTTTGCGATGGTCGACTCGCGATGCAACTCTGAGGCCACATACTCCTCAAGCAGCGGGCATAGCATCAACTGGCCTCGAGTCTCGCCCACCCCCAAGTACAGAAACTCGTCCTGAAGGATGTTGTCGATCTGGCTGTCGGTGCGCAGGAGCCTGCGCTTGTAGCGGTACTCCGCCAGTTGAGCACGGCGAAGCAGCAGTTCCACAAACGCAAGCTCTGAGGCGTTGACTTGATCGTACGTCAAGGCATATTCCACCGCTTTCATGGCCGTCTCGTGGTCAGAGACTCCAGGGTCGGCCACTGAAAGAGCACATGTCGACTTCCACCACGAATGACGAGCCCGAGGATGCCCGTTGGTCTGCAGTATGAACTGTAGGCACCACTTGGTAGTGCGTGGGCCCGTGAGAGGCCATGAGTCCCACTCCGTCTCCGAAGTGAGGTCAACCGCGACCTTGAAGTCCTTGAATCTTTTCCCGAGCCGATCCCTAGTCACCTCCAGTATGCGAGCGTCCAGATCTACATCGTCCCCGTCGTCTCCGCCACTGGTGACTGGATCCCGATCAGAAATCAGCTTGGTGACCCCGTCCTGCATGAGAATGCCGAAGTCGCCGCAGATGGCCCAGCCGTCTCCAGCTGGCTGGTCCAGCACCTTGCCCTCGGCAGCGCTGATGTCCAGCCAGCGTCGAAGCGGCGCCGGCAGGCGCCCCGTGCCAAAGATGAGACCGAGGTCGCGGCCGACCCTCAGCGCCACGGCGTCCTCGGGGCTGCTCGCTAGCGGCAGCAGCGGAGGCGTAGCAGCACCGATGGGAGTGGCCGTACCATCAGCCCCACCTGCAGCAAGGTCTACCTGGACGATCGGCGCCACGGGGTCAACGTCGTCGTCGATAGCGGGAATCGGTCTCCGAAGATTCTGAGCCCGACATGCTGCTCGAGCTCGTTCGTACTGAGCTGGGCGTGGTATCTGTCCAAATTCGAAGACCCGTCCCCAGTGCGACTGTGGCCCTAGGCCCTGCCCGACGATCGGCGTCCCCTCGAGATCGCAGGGTGCGACGGCGAGCAGTGGTGGACAACTCAGCTCCTCCGGGTATATATCCCCAGTCGGCGTCATTACCCAACGAACTGTGGCGGCTGGTACGTCGGGCGGTTCGCCCATGATCCTCTCCAAAGTGGCGGCGTCGCTGTACTCCAAAATCAATCTCTTGTGCCAGAGCCGTCTCTCGGACTCGTATTTCACGATGATCTCGCGGCCTGGGCGAAGAAATCTCTGAGCTAGATCCGTCATGTCGGCGGCAGTACACAGCGTGACCAGCCGCCCCGACCACGATCCCTGCAGCAAACGTCACCGCTGAGAAGGCGTACGGTGAGCCCACGTAAGTGCTCTGAACAGCGCAGGTGAGTGCAGATGAGGCTATCGGCGAGAGGGAAGGCCAGACCACCTGGCCCGCCTCCCACAGGGCATGGGCTGCCGTGAGAAGCATGCACCTCAGGCGTCGCCGCCCCAAAAAGACTTGAGCGTAAACAGTTGCGGCCAGGCACCGAGAGAGAAAGACGTTCCGAGAACTGTAGCATACATGCATACATGCATACATGCATACATGCATACATGCATACATGCATACATGCATACATACATACATACATACATACTATTCACATACATGCATGTATGCATACATACATACCTACATACCTATACATACATATCTACCTACCTACCTACGTACAGACAGACAGACAGACAGACAGACTGTCAGACAGACATACAACATATATATATACATACATTCATACATGCATACATGAACATACATGCATACGTACATACATACGGCTATGCCTGCACATGCATATACATATATATATATATATGTACACGCATCTAGACATGTAGTATGCATAGCGAGATGAGTGTGTACACATATATATGTATATATATATAAATACATATATATATATATATATATATATATAGCCGTGCGTGCCGCTGGAGCAGCACGGCGGCGGGCCCGCCGGCGGAGGCTCGGCGGAGGGCGGCAGCGCTGCGAGAGCGAGGCGCCCGCACGCCCTGTGCCGGGGCCCTCTGGCGTTGCGCAGGCGGGGCCTCCCGGGACGCACAGAGACGTACTGGTACTTCGCTTCGCTTCGCTCGCAGCTCGATGTCCCGTTGGACGAAGCTGTTCGCGCGGCCGCGGCCGCGCGCGCGCGCCCGAGGCGCGCGGAGGGGGCCACCCCCCCGACACGGGCCCCCGCCAGGAGGGCAAGGAGTAGAAGCCGCCTAGGCCTCGCAGGAGAAGCCGCTTGGGCCTCGCAGGGGGAGAAAAAAGGGCCCAGAAGTACGTACTGGTACTGTACGTCCTCCTTGGGAGGCGCGCGTCCGACCCGAACATCCCGTAGACCCATCTTGTGGTATATCGTATCCCGAGCGGCGTGGCCAGAAGGCGCCCGCCACGACGCGTGTGCTATAAGATGTCTCGGTGCGCGCATCGCCCCCGGGGGGGGGCTGGCGACGCACATACAGTATAAGTCCCACCAGCCCTCTGGGCGTGGGCGCTTTAGGGAGTTTCCTTTTCCAACCTCCTTCTTCCCCTTCGGGGAGGCGTTTACCCCTCACCCTCCCCTGGACCTGGACGGGGGGGTTCGCGACGCGTTGGGGCGTCCAAAACGGCCTCGGCAAGGAAGCTAAAATCACTGGTTTTACTAAGGTTTTGGCCCCTTTTGGCCTCTGGGGGGGGGGGCCTAATTAGGAACCCCCCCTCCTGTGATCGATCTCACCCAAGATGGCCCAAAGATGGCCCCCAAGGCTCCCAAGGGTGCCCCAAGAGGGCCCCAAGAGGTGGCCAGGAAGCCCCAAGAGGCCCCCAGGATGCCCCCAAGAGGCTCCCAAGAGACCACCAAGACGCCCCAAGAGACCCCCCAGATAAGGTTTTAGCCACATGTTGGCCTCTTGGGGGGGGGGCACTGATTAAGATGACTCCAAGAGCGCCTGGGAGAGCCCAAGATGACCTTCAAGATGGCTCAAGATATCCCAAGATGTCTCATAATGGCTCCCACGATGCTCCAAGATGCCCCAAGACCGCTCCAAGACGGCTACAAGTGGCCAAAGAGCTCCCCCTGGAGGCCCCGAAGAAGCCAAAACCTTAGGAAAATTCGTGTGTTTGGCTTTCTCGCCTTTTCGCTTCCGATGGCCATCCGAGGCCTCAAGATGGCTCCAAGATGGCCCAAGAGGGCCCCAAGAGAAGCTCAAGAGAGCCCCAAGACGGCCCCAAGAGCGCCTACGAGCGCTCCAAGAGCACCCCAAGAGCGCCCCAAGAGGCGATTGTTTGGGCTCACGAGGGGCAACGCTACCTAATGCTCGCTTCTTGTTTGATCGATGTCCTCCAAGATGGCTCCAAGAGCGCTCCCAAGGCTCCCAAGAGCGCTTCAAGAGGGCCCCAAGAGGCGCCCAGGAGGCCCCAAGAGGCGCCCAAGAGGCCTCCAAGATGCTCCCAAGAGACCCCCAAGAGGCCCCAAGAGCTCTCCGAGGCACCCAAGACGCTCCAAGAGGCCTCAACTGGGGGACCCTTCCTCTGTGTGCTGCCCACTTCCCTGATCGAGGCAATTCCTCTGGGCATCGTTTCTTGATGGGCTGGTGGGGTTACTTTGTTTGGTCGCGGGCGCAAGCGAGAGCGCAGGCGCCGTCCAAGTAAGTCCGGGTTGCGGCACCTACTAATTTACAGCGAAAGCAGGCGACTACAAATTATACAGCGACAAGCAAGCAGGGCTGGCGGGGTTACGCGAAGCGTCTAGAATATGTTGGGGTGACGCCGACCTCCCCTCGGCGGTGGACAAGCCTCCCTTCAGGAACCCCCCCCTAGCGAAAACGGCCTTAGGACCGAAACCGACGGGCCTGGACCCGCAAGAAACGACGGCCGCGGCGCCCTCTCGCGAACCGAAAACGGCCGATCCGCCAATCGACGCCTCAGGGTAGGAGGTCTATCAACCTCCGATCCTCCCCACGCCGCGGGCGAGC